GTAAACAACTAATTTAATAATGCTTTACATTATTTTACAAGCAGGAGGAGGAAGACTCAGATGAAGACCATTCTCAAAGCAGCCATGAGTTATCATTTGGTCCAATATCTTGCCTCCCAGTTGACGAGCACCTGTGTTACGTCCAGGAGGAGAGTGAGCCTGCATATGTTTCACCTCTGGACGAAAAGAAGGTTTTCAGGCAAACAGCCTTGTCTATGTCCAATTTACATGAGGCAACAATGTAGGTTCTATTTTTTTTCCCCAAACGTTTTAAAATATTTCATGTAGACTTTGTAACTTAAACATGATCCATACATATTGCATGGGAATGTTCTATACCAAACAAGTGGTTAAATGTTTTCTTACTGGAGAAAAGAGGCAGAGGATATTTGTTGTTTGGGCAGCCTGCATGTGGTTTGAGCTATTTATTCAAACCTTAGTGCCAAGTCCGTGAAGGGAAGTAAGCAGGTAGGAGAAGTAACTACATATAGAGAGCGGTAGGTACAATGTAATGACATAGTAAATATGTGCAGACCTATTTATAATTGCTGCAAAATTTTTAGATACCTAGCTACTTGCGTTCCTACAAAGCAGTCATAAAACAACTCACAGTTTGGCCAAGCAGGGTAGTCTGCTTCTGTGTGTGTGCTGGGACTGACAGTGTGAGCGATGGAAAAAGGCCAGACACGAGGTGTACAAATGGCAACAGGTGGGATGAATGAAGGATCAGTCGTGTGGGAGGCCACTGAATGTGTGTAAAATCAATTTCTTCCTTGCATAAGAATATTTACTAGTGTCTGGATGCCCAGAAAACTTAGCACCACTCTCCTACCTTCCATAATAAAACTCAAATAAAGCCCCCCCTTCTGAATTGTAGTTAAGAATTTCTGGTTGCATGAGACAGCAGATCTCAAGATGCACATGGGCTTTTATCACTCAGCCCTGCAACTTGTTGGACAATATGCCTTCCAGGAGCAGACATGTTCTCACAGCTTATGGATGGTATCTTTTTATTGTTTTTTTGGTTGGGAGCTCTTAGATGCATAAATGAAGTTGACTAGGCTCTACCAAAATTGAGAGTAAATAAAAATATCTTGGTTTTCTAAGTAACTCAACTATGTATGTAATAGTTTGCTCACAAATGCTGGGAAGATATTTCTGTGAATTTTGTTATTATGAAAAAAAAACCCCAAACAGCTGCATATGTCATGACAGAATTTTTTTCTTTGCTTAAAAACTTATTCTACAAATACCAGCTGACATGACCTCCAAAAATTTTGATTCTTGACACCACTAGCATTTCCACTGCATCACAGTAACGTCTGATAATAGCTGCTTTTACGAATAGGGCTTGGATGTTAACTTTATTGATTCAGTAACAGATAAGCAAAACATTTCCTGTGAGATGCTGAGCCCTGTAAACTCCGTTAATCCCACACAGCCTTAAGACCACGAGCAAGACTCAAACTTGAAAGCTTTTTCTCCCATGTTGTTCACAGAGTCGCTGTTTTCACTTTATTAGAAGCATGGGAATGGTAGTGTAAGGAAAGGTGCACAACTGTTTATCACATGTGATGGTACAGCCAGTTATATCTATAGTTGGAGGGATGTGATGGAATGCCTAGGGGCACAGAGCAGTGCCTGCCATGGCCCACAGCAGCAGGCTGCTTATTACCCAAAGCCACAGTTTTTACAATACTTCCAAACAAACACATGAGGGTTTCATGTTCTTGTTTCTGTTTTACAGGCCTGTTCTGCTTGAACATCTCAGAGAAACAAGAGCAGATAAGAAAAGGCTTCGCAAAGCTCTCAGAGAGTTTGAGGAACAATTCTATAAACAGACAGGAAGGTAAATAACCAGCTCAACAAAAGCCCTTTCCTTCTCCCCACTGGGCTCCTACATGTGTGTGTTGGGTTCTGCTAGGGTAGGTACTCTTAGGTGAGCAGGCCAAAAAATCTGCAGCTAGAGACTGGAAGATACAGTGGAGGTGTCTGGTCTCTGTGGAGATGTCCATCTCCCTGCTTAGTTCCTCTGGCATCCCTGAGGAGGGTCTAGACTTGGGGATGTTCCAGGGAATGTTTCCTGGGCTGAAGGGAGGCTGCTAAAGACCCTCTCTGAGGACGTCAGTCTGCAGGGATTACACTTGGCAGTTGGGTCATTTTTAAAAGGCCAGTTTTAAAACCAGAAGCCACTGTTTCTTTCACCCAAAGATAAATATTGGTTACTTTTCAGTCTTTGCTTATCATCCTCCTTTCATTTAGCTAACTTGTTTGCTGAAAACGGTAGAAGATATGGGCATGTAGTATTCTGGTAACAAAGTATTATGTGGTGTCTTCTCTGCATATTTGAAAATTAAGTAGTTATGCTTACACAGCTGACAAGAATGAAAACTACTTGGTATATGAAAAGTCAGTATTTTAAATATTATTATTTAATTTCTGTCTATTAGAGCTTTTTGGTCCTGTCAAATTATCTTTAGACACCTACAATTGGGAGAAAAAAACAAACCCCAACCCAATCCTCACTAGATATTGCAGAATTAATTTTAAAGACTGTTTCTTCTCTTACTCATAAAAGTGATGGCACTTTCATTTCTTTTTCCTAGAAGTCCTCAAAAAGAAGATCGGGCACCAATGGCCGAGGAATACTCTGAATACAAGCACATGAAAGCCAAAATCAGGCTCTTGGAGGTTCTCATCAGTAAGCATGATATTTCCAAAACGATTTGAAGTGAATGCAATGCTGTGGTATTGTTCTCTAGCAAAAAAAAAAAAACAAAAACAAAAACAAACAAACAAAAAAACAAAAACAAAACCAAACCAAAACAAGACAAAAAAACCCCAAGCAAACAAGTAATGAAAAAGAATAAGTAATTTTACAGGTCTTGGTCTGCTGCACAATTTAACACACTGAGATTTTTTTAATGCACTTTACCAATTATACTAGCTGGGATGAGAGAGGACAGCAATATGCAAGAATCTTAAGCACAGGTGAGTCGACTATAGTATATATTTTTTCCTTTTGAAAAAGCCTTGAAGTGCACTGTGAGAATGTTAGAAATTGAAAGGGGACTGATGTAGTGTAAAGCCTCAGTTTGACCTGCTTTTAGCTTAAAAAGGTGTGAGGAAATACTCTCCAGGTTTTTAGTACATGATAATGTACCACACACTTCTTACCAGAATTAACATGCACTATAATTAACTACTAATGTTGCTTCTCAATGTGTGATTCACTAGATTAAAAGAAACGAGTATAAAACAAATGAAGGAAAAACTCATGACCATACTCTTTGTCTTTTGAGACAGAGGTGCCATTCAATTCCAGTAGCTTCAAAGAACCAGGATTTGGTCTAAAATTCTGGGAGTAAACTAAAGTAGTGCTGCTTATGTAAAAAAAAAAAACCAAACAAAAAACACAAAAAAAAGCAACGGAAGGCTGGATGGAATGTGACTGCCAAGTAAAACTATTGGTTTTTTAGAAATAAATAAGAGAAAGAGTTTGACAAAACAAAACAGACAGATACAGTATACTGGGAAGACCTGGCTGATGTCCTTTTCACTACAGTTCATAGGACCCGGCTCACCGTACTTAAAATCTAGTAAACAGATCAACTACATGCTAATTTTAATTTCTGTATTAGATTTTGCACTTTATTTTGCCTGATGCTATAACATTTGCTTTTCTAAGTACCAAAGCTCGTTTAGACGCATGCACTTTGTAAAATGTCAAAGTATTTCTTGTGTTATAGATTGCTACATATATATATTAAAAAAGGCTAGATAATTGCATTATGCTAAGATATTTTGGATAGATGAAGTACATGGTATATAATTGAGTGTCACAGTTATCTGATGAGGAATGCTAGATTTCTTGTTTACTAAAAATAAGATTATAAAAGGTTATTTTTCCATTGGAATTATGCGTCTTTCTTAACTTTCAGAACACCACACTTTGTAATATTAAGATTTTTTCACTATTTGTGATAGACCATTTGTGTGAAATGTGGACTAATAACAGAAGGATTATCAGTGGCTTTTATACTAGGAATGAAAAGCAGGGATTCTGGGAAATAGCCCGGACATAAAGGAAGGAAGTGTTTAAATAAAAAGGGACTTGAATAAGTCGAATCGCATTTGGTATTTTGCTTTAACTGTCATTTTGTATTGCTCCTGTCGTATAAACAACCTGTTTTCTATCTTGTAAGAAGATTTTCATTTTATAAAGGCTATTATGTACCACCCATGTTTGTATTTATCTTGTATGTAATGGCTCGGCATGATTTTGAAGACATATACATCTTCAAGTAGGTTGGAGGAAAAAGTAATGAATACTAAAAAAGGTTTGTTGTTTGTTTCAGTGTAGTGACTTAATAATTTATAACTTTTATGAATCAGAAATGGTCTCCTTCATAAATCTGTTTTAATTAAAGTCATCTAGAGCAACAGGAACAGATACAGAGCTATTTGAAGTTTACAAACTACATCTTTGATAAGGGAAAATGATTTCATGACATATGTATACAATTGATATTAAAATGTAATCTATATATTCTATATGATTGTATAATATTTTATACAACAGTACAAATAAAATATTTTTCTATTATATTTATTATGTCAAGACACAGTTTCTGTTTTCAGTTAGCTAATATAAATAACATAAATAACACTGTCAAACAACACGTTGGAAGTGCTGACATTTCTAGGCTCCGAAATTCAAATCATGCTGCAATTACAACCTTTCATGCTGTTTGGCGTTATCCCAGTATTTGTTCAGTAGTTAAAATGAATGCATATTTAAACACCATTTATAAGCCGTTATTTTTATTTTGCTAAAGCAGTTTATATAGGATTTTGTTACATTTGGCAAGAAACAGAAAACAATTTTTGCAGCATCTAGGTATAAATGGTTGCCAGAAAGAAATCCAGGACTTCTAATCATTTAAAGCATTGGGGAAACAGAAGGGAA